GAGAAATATACTACAACAGCTAATCAGATAATGATATACTTCAACAGATAAATAACAACAGATAATCATATTTTCCCTTAGCAGATATGCAGCTTTGAAGAAAGTAAACTCAAGAATATAGCAAAATATTTTTTTTGATTAAATCACATTAATTAGACTTAATTACTTTCACTTATTTTTAACTACAAAATAAATTAATTTTAAAATTTTAACAGTTTTCACATATTGTAGGATAATTTCGTGGTATTCACATATCCTTCAATAAGTGAAACCAACTAAAATCAAATAATAAAACCCTAATATGCCAATTAACTTTCTAAAATGTTATTTAAATGTCTTACCTAACAACGCAATCATTTTTAAAGTACTTACAATCGAAATATGATCTTGAACTGTTATTTATGCTATGAAAATGTGCCAAATGCTGTTGGATACACCAGAAACTGAGTCTTAAGCCTTTGACGCAGAAGAGACTTATGCGAAGAAGTAATTGACATATTTTGTTTTTCAAAATTCAAATTAAAAAATTTATCAAAATTTTTGAAACAATTATTTGAAATTTTTGAAAAAATTATGGTTTTGTAAATTAAATTAAATTCAATGATGGATAACTGTTTCTCCTAGGCCCAAATAACTTAAAATTACCCCAAATTTAGAAAGAAAGTAGGATTAAGAATAATAGGAAAAATATTTGACTTTTTATTCAGAAAATGAAACCGGTGTTTCATGTTGTATTTTAAACCATAAATTATTGAAATGCTAAATATAATTTTTCTCTCTCTTATTTTGACCTAAATTCATACAAAATAATGAGAAAGGGATGAAAAATAAGTTTATTAAAAATTCTGTTTTAAAGAGAGACATGGCAGGTTGTATGCATTAATAACTTTTATGAAATTGAACACTAGAGCTATAATACCTAAAACATTCTCAAAATTTTTGCAAATAGCTGACCCCAAAAGACATTACAGCAAAACTTTATTTTATTTAAACATTTCAAGAAACATTACAGCAAAACTTTAAAATTTTGTTGTTGAAGAAAAGATGTTTAATGTTATTTGTAAATGCACGAACCACATTAAAAATTATCGTATTGGGGATTATTCATATAAATTTATATTTTTTTAAACATATTCCTTTCAAATTTTAAATTAATGTTTAAGTAACTTCAATTAAAGAAAAAAGAAACGTTAATTAAAGAGTAATTATTTAAATAGTGCGTATCTTGAGAATCTGTTTCTATGAAACAAAATTACTCAGTTAATTATCACTGATAATTATGTTTAATGACATATTTTATGAAAACTAATTAAACTTCATTCTTAATAAATTTAACGAAAACTGTTTAACTGCTGGCTATAAGAAAATCAATTTATCAAACTGCTTTATTTTTCAATGGAAAATTCGTTTTAGAAGTCACAATTACGCTTAAGCAGCTAAAACAAACAGAATCTTACTGGCACCTGTGAATAACACTTAATTTTCAATTCCTCCTCTTACTTGATAATTATTAATTACTTTATCCAAAAATAATACACATTTTCAAAATTAATTAGCTGCCAGTTAAATATGTCACGGTGAGAAAATTCCTAAAAATGGATAGAAAAATATGACTTCTTGCTTTAGGGGAAAGCTTGAGTCCTTTTCAAGGTTTTGTTTATTTTTCCCCCTAGCTCTGACTTCTTAATTATAAAGACAATCAAGAAAATGTCGATAACTTTTCGGAAAATGTTTACTTTAGTGCGCATGGTTAAAAGTTAAGAAAAAAAAATTGAACCCTTTTAAATATTTGTTGCAAAAGTAAACAGCAAAATTCAATATGCATGCATATATGTTTATCTAACAACTAGAAGGCAATTAGAATAGAATTAGATTTAACATTACCGTTTCTTCAGGCGCAGTAAACATCTTGAAAAGGAATTTCACATCAATTACTTCTCAAAAACACTAACCACATGAATACCACAGTAATGTCACAAACTAAAACTTTACGTGGCAAACTTGCTCATCCAAGAAATCAACTTGATAAACTTTTTATTCTCTTTTTTATTTAAATTTATTGCATTAAAAAATCCTTACATTGGACAAGAATGTACATATCCGAATGGGAGACCCAGGTTCGAATCCCAGGGGGGGATGGTTGGTACAAATTTTACTCCCATCTCGTAGTACTTACACAGTTAATTACTCCCCGTAGTAATTACATAGCAAATAATATCCTCTTTAAGCCATAAGCAAACTTCAGACATTAAACTAAAAATAAAATAAGTAATGTTAAAACCTTCTTTTTTGAAGTAGATTAAAAGGGAAAAAATAAAAATAATTTTATTTGTGCTAGACCTAAAAACGAAATTTTTGTGGAGTATCACCATCGTAATATCATCAGCAACGAAAATTTCCCGTCCCGCAGTGGACTGATCGTTAAGACACGGTTCCCAGCAGATCACCGAAGTCAAGCATCACTGGCTGCGGTCAGTGTGCGGGTGGGTGACCACTTGGATCAGTCTGCGTAGGGACCGAGGGTGTGCCGTATTGGTCCTCGTTAATCTGTTCTACCGTAAAGTGCTCGACTTCGCGTGCAGGTCGTCGGGCTACCGAAGCAGGGGTGCCAACCCCTCTGCAGAGGATCGAAATTGTGATGGCATGTCTTCGGATCATCCTGAGGGATGCTTCCTAGACCGTCGCCAATAGCCCATTGTGCAGCTCTAGTGCGACGTAAATGAACTACAACAACAACAACGAAAATTTCCCCCACTTCTTTTAAAGGTAATGATCTAGAGCCACGATAGATCGGTTGAAAGAAAGTTCGCCTCCCAATGAGGTGTTCCAGGTTCGAATCCCACCGATAGCTAGTTGATACTAATTCTACACCCGGATCGCACCGACCACGGTGCTGACGTAAAGTATTATCAGTGTTAGATGGATAATGGGTTAGAATCCCCTTTCCGTCGATCCAACCGTCGGAGGTTTTTGCGATTTCTCATTTGGCAAGTAATTCTCCCCTTGTAACGCAAGTGCCGATTAGTTCCATTAAAATGTCCTCTTAGCAGGTTAGTTTGTCCCAAAGATTGATCCAGGAAGTTTCATTGTCTTCTGGATTGCCCTCAAAATTACGAGATTATGGAGTTGAACATTGATAGTCGAAAACTCAGAATTGAGTCCGCTGTTCAACGTCGGTTATACGGATATACAAGAAAATATAATATATACGGTCTATAAAGAATGATCTTCTTAGCTGATAAGAGACCCTTACTCTATTAAGCACGGAAGTATAGAATTTGTTTATAGGCGTAATCATGGATGTATATACAGGGTGTCTCAGTTAAACGTTTCAGAACTCATAAGAGGGGTAAAGTGCATCCTGACGACTCGAAATCATATAGCAATGCGGGGTTGGAAATGCTTTCCAGACGCGGTAGATGGCGTTGTACGAAAGTTCCGAGCTTTCCAGTGCGTTGGCCTCCTCGGTTACCCGACCTATCATGTCTTGATTTTTATTTCTGGGGTCATATGAAAACACTAGCTTATGACACCCCTATTGACAATGCTGAGGAGCTGGTTGCAAGAATCGCAGTAGCTGCCGGAATAATTTGAGATATGCCTGGAGTATTACAGAATGTTCGGACGTCCATGCATCGGAGATGTGAGGTGTGCAGTATGAACTTCGCAGAACTTCGAACACTTAGCTTGACCCATGTGCCTTATGCTTTTTTCAATGTATTATTAAAACGATTTTTCACTTACGGTCTCCTTTCTTTATGGTACTTCTGTGTACGTCACCGCTTCAGGAAAGCATTTCCGATCCCACATTGCTATATGATTTCGAGTTGTCAGGATGCCCCCTACCCCTCTTAGAAGCTCTGAAACGCTTAACTGAGACACCCTGTATATATATTTTTTTGCTGTTACAATAATCCTATTTGAAATCAACGCTTAATTGTGGTTCTCTCGTTGTCGCAATGTTTAATCGTCGTTCGATAGGATTCTGAAGTATGGAGTTTGCGGATTCGAATCCTATATGTATTTTTAAGATGTCCTTTTTCAACTTAAGCTATCTACAAAGCAATTTGGCAATGGTTTTAAAAAAATCGTATTTTGTAATAAGCAATTACACCTGGATATGTATGGACAGCAATAAATAAATGAATCTTTGACATTTTCTCCTCCAGCCTGAAGCCTTAGCAATTTATGCTTTAATTTTATGGCGCTTATTATTAAATAGTGCTATCCGTGCTGCAATTTGATGAGATTTTCTAAACATTTTATGTTTATTTACTGATTTATTAATAGCTACTCATATATGTGCAGACTTAGGTACCCATTACAAAGTTCGGCTTATAAGCCTTTGTCAAGTTAGAGCATCTTTGCATTACACTTATGTTATTACTTTACCACTACTTATAGTAGAACATCGCAATGATACATCCAAGATTGGGGTGGGACTCAAACACGCTACCTCCTTACCACAAAGCGTTTGCGGGATGTCAAGAATATTTGGTCCGGGAGACCCATTTTCTAATGTTTAAATTCGTAGGAATGTAAAATATAAATAAAGGCTTTGAATTATTTGCCAAACTGATATAGAGGCTTCACAAGAAAAATGAAAGATACATATAAGGTTACGAGGGGAATTAAATCAGCGTTTGTTCCACGCTTCAAATCATTTGATAGAACAATAACCTCTAGCCGAGAAACATGAAGAGCAGAGTCGCAGGGGTAGATTTAAAGAGTTGAATTGAATTGAATGTTGGGTTTAATGGCACAAAGTCCACAGAAGGACATGCTGCGCCAAACAAACGGTTTTAAAATAAAATCCTACGTAGATTTATACGAGTTTTTCCCATCAAAAATCACACGGAATTTATAAAACTGAATACAACGGAACCAATGCATTCAAAAGTGAGTAAAACAAGATAAAATTTAAATGTAGTTAAATATCATAAAACAGTTGCATTCAAAGCTGAATAAAATCACATAAAATTGTAAATAGGATAAAACAGTTATATACAGTATAAGTGACCAAAAATGTTAGGATGATGGCAGTCACCTAACAAATCCTGCAGTGTTAAAATAGAAGTACCAAAAAAGGTTAGACGATGAAAGTTAAAACATGGGCAATAAATTAAAATGTGATATATTGTGAGTAAAACGTTGCAAGCATTGCAGTTAGGAGAAGGTTCATCAAACAGCAAGTGAAGGTGGGTCAATCGAGTGTGGCCAATTCGAAGACGAGTAAGTTTGACGTCTGCCCTACGATTACGTAGCACAGGCAATGGATCTAAATCAATTTTTATAGCGCGCAATTTATTATTAATTTGGAGATCCCACTGCTGCAACCATAGAGACTTTGTAAGCTGTCGTACGTGTGTTTTTATATCTTGGTATGGTATAGACAGAGAGAAAGGGTTTGTAGCAGATCGTGCGGCAACATCGGCCAAGTCATTGCCCGGAATTCCGACATGACTTGGGACCCAACAAAATAAAATATCAAACCCATTTTTATGAAAAGAATTTAACAGATGATGTATAAAATTTAAAATTGGGTGAGTCGATTCTTCGAAATGTCCCAATTGGCGCAACACGCTCAAACTATCTGAATAAATGCAATATTTTCGAGTAGGCAGTGATGAGATCAATCGCAGAGCTAAAAGAATAGCTACAGCTTCGGCAGTGAAAATTGAACAAATATCTGGGATTTTAAAATTGTACGTGGCATCAGCAATGACGACGCCACAACCGACATGTCCTGGAGATTTTGAGCCATCTGTAAATACAGGGGCGTATTGAGAAAACTGATGACGATGGGAAGTGAAAAGTTGCTGAAATATAATAGGAGACACTTGAGCCTTATTATAAGCAACAAACTGACAATCAAACTGGTATTGTGAGATGGTCCATGGTGAAATAAGCAAATGCTCAACTGATTGTGATGGCAAATCACAAATAGACAAATTTTCAATAAGTGATCGCATGCGAACGTTAAAAGGGCGAATATGAGAAGGACGAGCTTCATAAAACCGCAACAAACTTGATGGTGTAGAATCACGCTGTAGAGGATGTGTAGCAGATGACATGATGCGAAAGTAATACGTCAAGGACAGCTGCATGCGGCGTAGGTCTAAAGGTAGTTGATCACAGATAACATAGAGGCTTTTAACAGGGGACGTGCGGAAGGCGCCGCTACATATGCGCAAGGCAGTATGATGCACTGTATCCAAGCGTCTTAAGTTAGAAGCGGAAGCAGTGCCATATACCGCACATGCGTAATCAAGACGAGATAATGTTAGCGCTTGATATATTCGCAGTAGGGCGATGCGATCTGCACCCCAAGACGTGTTTGAAAGCACTCGTAATATGTTTAGAGTCTTCTCGCATCGTTTTCTAAG